GGCCAGGTGTGGAGACTCATGCCTGTTATTCCAGCACTGTTGGAGGCCGAGGTGGGAGGACTGATTGAGCCCAGGGGTTCAAGGCCAGCCTGGGCAACTTGGCAAGACCTCATCTCTACAAAAATAAAAAAAAATTGGCCAGGTATGGTGTCACGCGTCTGTAGTCCCAGCTAGCCAGGAGGCTGAGGTGGGAGGACCACCTGAGCTCAGAAGGTCGAAGTCATGGCCACTGCACTCCAGCCTGGGTGACACAGTAAGACCCCCCCAAATAAAAAAAAAAAAAAAAAAAAAAGAGAGCACCTCAGAGCAACAGGTAAGATCATGTTATTTATTATTGTTATTATTTATTATTTATGATATTTACCACATGTGATATTTATTACATATTTACTTATAACACTGAACACCTCTGTGGATGGGAGCTATCATAATACTTATCCCATTTCACAGATGAGGACATTGAGGTTTAGGCATTTAGTCACTTGTAGAAGTTATGGAGTTCAGGACACACCACCCCATAATCTAGCACCTTGGCATACTGAGTATTTTGAGGTGAAGGACATGGAGGAACAGCATGTGGGAAGGCCCCTCCAGCCTCTTCCCGGCCCTCCTCTGATGCAGGTCACAGACCCTCTTGTGAGTGGTGCCCTGGGCAAAGAGCTCAGCCCGAGCCCGGGTTCCCTCTGCAGAGAGGGGTGATGGCAGTGTCTGCTTCCCAGGATGACGCAAGGACTCAGTGAAAGTGTGGCAAAGCCTTCAGCACAGCATCGGAGACACACAGGGCTGCACCAAGTGCCGTCTAAAATTGCATAATGACAACCTACAGTAAAAGCAATCAGAGAAACAGTGCTTTGCTACAGTCAGTAAGTCCCTGGGAAAGGTGACTTGGTCCGGCGGGGATGACATGAGTTTGGATGAGGAGACTGCCGGTTCTGCTTGGAGTCAGGGTCCTGCTGGAGCAGCCACTGCAAAGTCCACAGGAGCCCAAGGTCACCATTCTAAAGGGTCAGATGAAGGGGACCCATGCTCACCTGAAAGCACTGACCTTTTTCCCCTTCCCTCCCCCACCGTGTACTCACATAGGCAGTACATGCCTTACCTCTGTTTTGGGGTTGGGTCTCACTCTGTTGCTCCTGGATCACAGCTCACTGGAGCCTCAAACTCCCAGGCTAAAGTGACCCTCCTGCATCGGCTTCCTGAATAGCTGGGACTGCAGGCACATGCTACCATGCCCAGCTAATTTTTTGATTTTTTAATAGAGATAGGGTCTTGCTATGTTGGCCAGGCTGGTCTCAAATTCCTGGGCTCAAGCGATCCACTTGCCTCAAGCAATCCTCCTGCCTTGGCCTCCCAAAGTGCTGGGGTTATAGGTATGAGCCACTGTACCTGGCCAGTACTTACTTTTTAAAGGTATGCATGTGTTTCTGACAGGTCACTGTGTTCCTAGGTTCTCAGGGACGCCTGCTCCAGGTGTGGGAATGTCCTAGCAATGTTAATGACAGACATGTCTTTGGCCCAAGCGACTTCAAGAGACTCCTCATGCTGTGTTCATTTCATCACACATGCAACTACTCCGTGAGCAGAAATTCCTTCCAAGTGTTTGCCTCTAAGTTCACTTTTAAAGACATTTCCAGCTCCATTCCAGTGGCCTTTGCATCTCAAGGCACTCCTGATAATTAGCTCTATTCTCACTGCTGCCCAGCCCAGCTGTAATGGGATTAGCTGTTTTCAGATGTAAATCTGTGGTGTGCATCTTACCACACTGCTTCAAAACTCCAAGCAGGCTTTCCGCCTCCGCCACATTAGGACAGCTGCATCCCGCTGTGTGCAACTCGTTACCACTTCCATTTCAGGAAGCAACTCTACTGCACTGCACATCTGGTCCCCACCTGTTAATTATGTGCTTTTTACAACAGCGGTGCCGAATCAGGACGGAGTCGAGACCTTGCCAAGCCTACGACTCCGTGTTTCTTATTCTTGTACCTCAGCGTCCTCCCTCCAGATACTCCCAATCTGTTTTACATTCCTACCGCATTAAGACAATCGCTCTCAGGTGTGTGTCCTGCATCCAGGTTGCTTTCCAAGCAACACGTTGTTGACCAGGACTCTCGATTTCACCTCCTGCCTGAGGGTCAGCCACTTTGCTGCTCTTCTGGTCACATTTGCCCCGAACGGAGTGACTCCAGCTGGGGCTGTCTAGCCCTGAGGCTGGACTCTGGACTCTTTCATGAAATTTCTGTGGCATGGTCCTAGGAGGCAGCCACAGCTGCGCACCAGAGCAAGCATCTTGAGTGCAATGGCCTCGGTCCTTCCGTAGAACCTGTGAGGGGAAATCTGTGGGTTCCATCAGGAAATGTGCAGGGGGACCTGCCAGGTGTGCTGGCTGGCAGGGCCATGGAGAATGCCTGTCCCAGGCCTCCCGAAGGGCACAGTTTGGAGGAGCAGGAGGCTGAGGACGCGAGGGCTCCAGCCTATGAGGAGTCTTCCCGAACGAAAGGGGGATCTTGGAGAAGGGACAGGGACATGGACTCTGGGCAGGGCCAGGTCAGAGAGGAGGCTGTGGGAAGCTGGGGAGCACAAGCCCTGTGTCACGGGGACTGACTCTGTTTGCCGCTGTTTGACTCTCAAGTCACCTGAGCTGTGGCAGGCAATTCTAGCTGAATGAAGAATGTGCCAATGCTTCACGAATCCAACTTGACAGTAGAAACATCAGGGGCTGGTTGCCCGTGCAAACTGCCTGTGTTGGAGTTTTTCTTCCCAAGCTGTTTGAAACATAACGACTGGCAGGCTCAGGAAACACTCAGGAAGCACAAAGAGGAGCAGGCTGGGGCCCCTGGGAGTGGGCCTTCCCTGAGGGTGGAGGGTCCCACCGGAGACTGTGTGACTGGCATCTCAGGACATGGGCTGGAAGCTCAGGCCTGGTCCTACCACTTGTGGCTGGGCCTACTACAAAAACAAACGCCTTCAGCGCCCAGAAGCTGGGCTCATCCTCTTCCCATGAGGGCAGCATGAGGAATGAATCTTTGTCCAACTATCAGGTATCGAATCGCTGGGAGAAGTCCCAGGTGGGAAATGGGACCTCAAAACCCCACTGTGAGGTGGAATAAAAACATGGCACCAGAACAAAAGCCTGGAAAGAAACTATGAATGGGACAAGTAGGAATAAGGAATCCGAGAGTGAGGGCACTATGTGACCCAAATACCAGTTTTATTTATGGATGGAAGAGTGGATTGGCTGGTGACAGTGAGGCAGCGAAAGTAACGGAATTGCGGGAGAAGCCACTGCCTGCATCCTGAACACACAGTTCGCCAAGATAGGCCAGGAATCGGATCCTAGCTGCTGAATTACAACCCCTTTTCAAGGAATTTATTCTGAGGGTGACTAAGTTAGAAGAGACTCTTCTAGTAGCTTCTGGGCCCTCGGGTATGGATGAAAGGAAGTCATATTTACGACCTGGGCTGCTGTGAGGACGAGCAAGAAGCAGAGAAGCAGAGCCCGGAGAAGGCGGCTCCTGGGTGCTGCTGCCACGGACCTTCCTGCTGACCTCACTCCTACTTCCTGGTGTCGGCCTCAGCCCTCCTCCTTCGTGGTCATTTTCCATCTCGGGACCCTGCCTCATCCCGTGAGCCTTCTGCAAGGGGCCGTGGCTGGTGCCGCAGACAGCCATCCACACACGGCAGCCACACACATCCCTCCATGTAAGACTGAGACACGGGCCTGCCTTTGTGTTCCCCGTCCCACTCCGGTGAGGCCGCCCTTGCTGGACTTCCGGGGAGTGGTCTCCACGCTGGGACACTGCCTCTTGTGGCTGTGTGTCCGGGTGTGTGTGCTGGCCCTGTCCTTGGCAGACCCTGGCTTTCTCTAGCACTTTCCAGGCATGGTGAAAGGACGTCTTACAAGATGTCCCCTAGGCAGGACACAGATCGCCACTGTGTCCCACAGAAAGGTGGGTTTTGAGGGGGCCACAGCACCCCATCTGCGTGTGTCTGGCCTTCCACTGGCTGCTTGTCGCTGCTCTCAACCTCTGGGTTGAAGAATAAAGACCAGTGTACCAAGCTTCAAAGGTTGTGTGTGGTGGGCATTTCGTCCTGTCATTCCCATAGGTGACGCAGGGATTCCCCTCTCCAACCTGCTCCTTCACAGCTCACTGGACCCAGCTCCAAGGTTCTGGACATTCTGCTCAATCCATGCCCGAGTCCCATTCTAACCCAGACAACTAACCTGAGCACAGCCCAGGCCTACCCTGGCTCTTCTGGCATCGCTACAACCACAGGCTTCTCCACCTGGAGTGGAACGAAAGGGCAGGACAAGGCACAGAAGACATGCTGCAGACACGCCCAACCAGAGGAGTGTCAGGCAGAAGTGATCACTCCCATCCCCAGGTGTCCCTCCCCCAACCCTGCTCCTCGGTCGGGACAACGGTGTCAGTTCCATTCCCAGGTACCCCCCTCTCCACTCCTACTTCTCAGGAGAGAAAAGTGGTCAACTCTGCCCCCGTTCTCCCTGCCCCCACCCCTACTTTTTGGTAGAGACAAAGAGGTCAAATCAATCCCCAGGTCTCCCTCTCCCCACCCCTGCTTCTCGGTAATGATAAAGGGGCCGACTCCATTCCTAGATCTACCTCCCCTCACTCCTACTTCTTGGTAGATCTCTCCCTGTGTTCTTGTTTAGGGCAGTAATTTTTTCCATGGTTGTCCCGACACAGATTCAACTTGTTCCCAGTCAGGCCCTTGTAGCCAGACATATTTGCAGCATTCCTTCCCATAGAACCCCTGGATGCCATCCTCCAGCTGCATGGGAATCCCTCTTGGCTGCCCCATGGCCCAACCTGACTCCAACCCAGCCCCAAGGGTACATCTGCTGGACACTGGCTCTTAGATAATAAGGGTGTCCTTTGTGTCTCTGCGTCTTCCCCCATGTGTAGCAGCATTTAGGACATAGTAGACCATCAGGGAATGTTTGCTGAATAAAGAGAACACAAGAAAAACAACATGCAACATTTAAGCTTCTCAAAGCATTTTTTAATTTTGTTTCTGCCACTAAGACTAAAGTTGTACAAGCAGGGATACAGTTCCCAACCACCAGGGTGTGAGGCTTGGCTGTGTGCAGTTGGCTCCTTCCTGAGCTTCTTTCCATGTTTCCAAGATGTGTCCCAGTCAGGGCATTGCTGCCTCTTTGACAGACGGACCATGGGCAGGGAGAGGACTGGGGACGGGGACATGGTGAACACGTGCACCGTGGAGAGCAGCTCAGAGACAGCTCGATTGGTGGCACTGGGGAGGAATGTCACCCGTCCCCTCTTCCCTGCATGCAGCTGGACAGTTCTGGGCTGCTTTCTAAGGTGAGGAAGACCCAGGGGCTCCCAAGGTGGTAAAGTGAACCCCCAAGAGTCACCTACCCTAAATGAGGTTTTCGCAGGAGATGAAATGTTCCCTAACCATTATTTTTCTTGGAAACCAAAGGGGGAAAATCAGGCAGTGGTCAGATCAACTTTCATGCTCCATTTTTGTCACTAATTTTATGGCTCTTGGTTTTTATACATTAGAAATAAAAAGGCCATAAACCAGCCAATGATCGGTACACAAGCTGCGGCACACAGCAATCTCCCAGGAGTTGGAGTAAAGGACTTCCCCGCAGCGGTCCTGATTGGGTAGGGAAGTTTGTTGGAAACATGGCCAGCTGAGAAGCCATGTGTTTGATTTTGGCAACAGAGACAGGATACAATGCACATACACTCATTTCATGGAACTGCAAACTGATGAGGTCAGGAGAGTAAAGCCTACTGTTTAAGTGACACCATCCTAGCAAACGGTTTCAGGAAGAGACAAAAGCTTAGGTAGTGGTCCACCTCCCAAGGCTGGGATTTCATACAGGTCAGGCAGTAAAGGAGGCCTGGGTTAGCCATTCATTCATTCACATTCAGATCCCAGAACGTGACACACCTTCCTCCCTGTCCCACCCCAGTCCTGTCAGTCTTGACTGCACTAAAGTAGCGGATCAACATATATGTTCTGTACTGCAGACTTCTGCTACGGTCTATGTGAAAAGCCGAAATGAAAGAGTCAAGGTCCCCACCCCTCCGCTCCACTAACACTTCAGTGTGGAGAAAGCCAAATACCAAGGAGAGTCAGGGCAGGCCCAAGGCCTGTGGGCCCCGGCTAGACAGTCGTGATCTTCTTGTCCTTGCTGGCCTGCTTGATGGCGGCCTGCTCACAGATGAGCTCCTGGAGACGCTGCAGCCTTGCAGTCTGCGTCGCTGGCTCCCCCACCCCGGTCTGGCTGCGGTGCAGCAGGGCCAGTGCGTGTGTGTACTCCAGCTCGGTGTACTTGATGCCCTGGTCCACCACCAGGCTCAGGAGCTCGTCCGCCGTGTTGTACAGCATCTCATAGTACTGCCTGGAGGGGCAAGAACAACACTGCTCACTGCTCCTGGCCAGCAGCTGGGCCAGGAGACAGAGACCCCATTCTACCCACCACTCCTGGCCCCCAGCTGGGCCTGGGGACAGAGACTCAACTCTGCCCCCTACTCCCGGCTAGCAGCTGGGCCCAGGGGACAAATGGCCGGGTGCTCACTTGGTCAATGTCTACGACCCCACTGTTCAAGGCCTCCGAGTAGGAGGACCACATGCGATCGTGGTGTTCTCCAGCCCACTGCAGCTCTCCTCACAAGAGGCCAAGGGAAAGCCGGGGGGAACCTCACGCCCTCTAGCCCACTCTGGGTTTTCTCTTGATTCTGCATCTGCCGCAGGAGACCCAAGGAAAGACCAGTCGGTGCAGAACCAAGAAGGGAGAAGGCACAGCCCACAGGGCTGGCCTTGCTCAACTGCTCTGCATTCACTCACTCTTCATTCATTCACAGGAGCTGTAAACTATGGCGCATGGTTCGCTTCTCCATAAAGTGTGATAATAACAGTACTTGCTTCGGAGGTTATTGGAGGAATTAATACACAGAAAGCACGTAGATTGGTGGTGCTTCATAAAGTCTAACGACTACTATTATTAAAATATAATAACATGTTAATAGGATTATAATAAAAGTAACAGTAGCATAGAATGATGCGTGTGCTCAGCCCTCTTCTCTCTCAGAGACAGAGAAAGATCAGGAGAAGCAGAGACACAGGATTCCATCCAGTAACAAGTTTGTTCCCATGCCCTGTGCCTGTTCAGCCCTCCCGCCACCTAGGGGGCCGCACCCATTCCCCAGATAATGAAACTGAAGACAGAGAAGTTAGCGGATGCCTGTGTCACCAAGATGGAGTGGTGGGGCCGGGATGTGGATTGGGTTTCTGACCCACATCCAACATGGTTCCTCACAGACACAGTTCATGGGAAGTACATCCCCCGAGCCCCGAGGGGTGTGTAAATGCTGTGGCTTTGAGCGGAGGGGGCGCCCACACCACACTGACACGGCATGGGGGATGTCAGGGCTTCCAGAGGGAACGTCCAGATGGAGGCCAGGGCGTGAGCGGTGGGGAGGGGAGCCTGGTGATTGGGCAGAGTCGGGGAGGGAAGAACCAGGAAGGGCAACTGGAGCCCTGAGGCAGCAGCTGACTCAGCCTGTGCCCTGGCCTGGCAAGGGCCAGCATGGGCCCCGCCCCATCCCCACCGCAAAGGCTGGTGGCAGGACCACTCCGTCCTGCCGCTGAGGACTAACGGGACTTTGGAGGGCGGGATGGTCAGGGAGGGGTTGGTTACCATTCCAGTAAGACGGAGAAGAGGGAGAGCAGTATCGACCAAGTGCACTGGCCTGAGTGGGGGGAGAGGCGACATGGGGAGGAGAGGTGACACAGGGGAGAGAGGAAGCAAGTGTTCGAGTGGGCCTTCAGCACGGTGAAGACATGAGGGAGTCAGGCAGCGAGACTCGCCACTCTCAAGCCGGCATTACGCCGCCGCCGCCCTTCAAAGAGTCTCCGGGACTCCAGCCACGACAGGCACAGCTGCTCCAACTTACCCAGGAGCTCAAGTCTGGCCTAGGTTCCCAGCCGGCAATGCCACCACGGTGTGCTAGCAAAAGGATCAAAAGGTCTTCCCGACACCGGCCACTTCCTGGTGCACGACTCCCAGGACTGAGGGGCAGAGCTGGGTCAGGGGCTCATGGTACTGGAGGTGGCCTACAGACCCATCAGAAGCACTGGCTCAGCGCAACTCAGGGCCTTTGACTTGTTTCTTTTTCATCAGGAACATCCTGGAGAAAGAACATCCTACGGCAAATGAAGCTGTCTGAGTGAGGAGTGCATTCCAGGGGCTTTGTCACCTCGAGAGCATTTTTACACATTGCAGCTCCAGCGGGAACATGGTGTTTTCCACACGGTCAGCTCCTTTTCCTGCTCTGCTAAACCTTCTCCTCCAACTAACACACTCTTTAAAAAACAGGAGCAAGAACATTGTTTTGTGACTATTCGCGGAACAGTGGCAGCACTGGAAAGTGCTCTTGTCAGATGGTGTTTCTGAGCATCTCCTTGGGGCAAGATCGCACAGCTTCCTTGTGAAGGGGGCCTCTCACAGGGTCCTCTCGGGTATGGGGGCCTCTCAGGCCACCTCTCGGAGGTTTCCAGCAAGTGGTCATTTTGACCTCACAGAACCAGGTATTCAGGACTCACTGGTCAAGGTGACCTTGAACGTAGACAGAAATACTTGATAGAACAGGAGAATTTGCTCCCACCTCCAGGGATCTGAGAGCCTGGTCTCAGCCTCGCTCAGGACGGTTTGGGGAGTTTCACATTCAGCTTGTGAATGCTGCCTCCTGCTCCTCCATATGTTGGCTGCACTTTACAAATATGAGTTCTAAGAAGAGCCTGAAGCTGTTGGAACGTGCCCCACGCGTGCCCTGCTGCACGTGTTCCCTGGCACACCACGCCCCCCACCCCCACACCGCCCCGCTTCTGAGAAAGGAGGCCTGTATCCTCTAACTCTGGCTCCCGTCGCCGCACAGGTAGGAGAGCACTGGTCTGTTAAGGGAGCTATGTGAGAATACACGTTTTACAACTTGCTCGAGAAGAACCCATGCATGAATCTAGGTTAGCCGAATCAAACGAGAGGGGACTTGGCTACAATTCCTCCACAGCAAGAAGGAACCCACCTGAAAGCTGCAATTTCCAGACCAGGGGTTCTCAAATATCAGAGTGCCTAAGAACGCGCTACAGTGCTTGAACAAATGCAGACCTGGGCCCTGTCCCCAGATGATTCTGAAAGGCTCTGAACCAGCCAGCACTCAGAGCCAGAGTCTGGTGGGGACACAGTGACAGAACCATTCTCCTCTCCTCCAGCGAGGACCCACACACATCAGAAAGGCTACAGAAGCAATAAAAGGTCTGTGATGTTTTTCACTGAGATTAAGCCAAAAGAACTGGATTTCTTTGTGTCGTGATGTTGATATTTTCATCATTTATCTTAAGAAGTAACATTGAACCCATCATACCAGATGAAATTGGATTTCTTTTGAAAAATCTGATGAATTGTTTCCAGGGATACCGGCTGGTTTTCTACAGAGATGGTTGTTTCACGCTGGCAGCAAACAACAAAACAAAGATGCCAGGATTTCTAGTCCTGGGTTTTCCAGTGTGGTAAGTGGCAAAGGACTCACCACGTAAGTCCTCAGCGTCTCAACATCCTCTGTGCCATGAAGACCTTTGTAAACCCCAGAGTGACACTCTAAAGTGGACTGAGAGGCTTAGAGTCCTCAAGAGCCTTGGATGAACAGGGCCCCAGAATTGCAAGCCTGTTATTCAACAAAACTGGCAGGTAACTGACGGTGTATTTTCCAGAGTTAGGGGGAAAAAATCCTCCCATAACCATGATGATATATTAGATCATAAAGAATCATAAATATTTAAAGACAGAATGAAATTCATTTATCTTTCTGAATGGTACCCAGTAGCAAAGATTACTAAATTGACACAGCAACAGTTACTCTGGGAGGTGGGGAGAGGGGCTACAATGTGCCCTAAAGAGAAAATAGAATAATGTCCCGAACTGTGCAATTAGAATGGGCTTCCATGATAAACACTGACAGATGGGAATGAAACCACGTCGCCCAACAGGGATAAATAATTTATTGGCACTTATTGAGGCCCCAGGAAAATGAAGCCTCGGTCTTCATCACCAAGCGTTAAAGTAGCGATCATGGCTTCGGAGCAACATGGTGTACACTCGACAGCACTTTACTGAGCTGCCTGGGGGCAGTGAACACACATGTGACTGAGACATTCTCTAGCACATGGCTTGTCTCCTCACAGCCCTAACGTTCAGGGGCCAATTGCTGCATGTGGACAGGTGCTCCACCCTGGAGACCAGTGAGTTTCAAGACCCCCGGAGGGGGAGACGGTCTGTGAGGAGGGGCGTGCTTTCCCGTGTCTTCTCATGCCTTGCTCTGCGCCCTGGCAGCAGTTCCCAGAGCAGCGGATGGAGGGTGGAGTGACGGAGCAGTGGCAGTGTGTGGGCACAGATCGGGCTCATGCACAGTCCACAACGGGGCCGTGTCTGCACTTTGCTCTGGTGCACACAGGTCGCTGCGGCCAATCGTCCTCATGTCTGCTGTGTCCAGACACTCCCTCCCTGTGGTGCTGTCTTCTTACTGTACTTTAATGGCCTTGCATTGCAGTTCTTTCCCCTTCACTGGTTTTTGTCTGGAAACATTTATACCAGTAAGGAAGGCTGTGACGGGCATTTTGGTGAGGTGGGTGGATCTTTTTAAAGTTCAAAAATGAAGTTTGTCTTTCTCTGATTGGAAAGCTAGCACCTGTGCCATGTAGACTGTATAGACCATACAGAAAAGATTACTCATGGAATCTCACCATAAAGGCAAACTACATTTTGGCATATTTTCTTGAAGCTCCCCCACCTCCGCCATGCAGCGTTTGAGCCAATGTCTTCTCATAGTTGAAATATTTAGGTTGAAACACAATTGGACACTTTGCTTCCAATTATAAAAACTTTCTTTCCTGTGGATATATTTCTAAAAGTAGAATTAGTCAAAAGATAAGTATATTATTTAGGACATTTGGCAAGACTGCCAAATTGCTTTCTTAAAAAGTTGTAACAACTTATTCACTACCAACAACATATGGACTGTGCCTATCTCGTATCCTTTGAATCTACATGAGGATGAACATTTTCCATCTACTTACTAGTTTTTAATGCATGTAGGTATGCATGCATGTGTGAACAAATTGTGGACATTGCTTTATCTTAAAGCATTAGTGCATTTCTTACTTCTCTTTAAGAGCTTTTCACAAATTTCCATAGACAAGAAGCAGGAGAGCCTTAACTTCGTCCCACTTGGCATCCTCGGTGAAGAGGCTAGCACTGTGTCCTCAAAGTTGGGGACACAGTTTCAGTTCTCTCTGTCAACTGTGGGAGGAAAGTGCCACTCAACAAGCTATTCCCACCCACAGCAA